CCTGGGCAGGGTGGACGGCGCGCAGTGCGCGGCGCTTCTTTCACAGCTCTGGCTAAGCCCATGTCGCTGCACGCTTTCCATTTCCAAGGCTGGGACACGGGAGAAACAAGCGACTCTGTGTGCTGCCCATCTCTGAAGGAGAACCCTGAACTGCTGGGAAGGGGAGACAGTTTCTCTCTATATATCCCAGTAAGTCACCACTCAGAATATACATATATCCATCCATACTTACAGGAGAGAAAGCTGGTTCATTCGTCTTATTAAGGCATTTTTCTTATTGACCAGCATGAACCACTCCTGCATCATAGCTTCTTCCTCCTCCGTGTTTCTCCCTGCAACAGAAAGTGCCTGGTTACTCGCACGGCATTTCCCGAGCTCCGCGACACGCTCCGGGTCCTGCAGCATCACCCGCTCACGCCGTCGAGCGGCACAAGGCCGATTCTCAGCTGGTAAAAGCACCACACGACAGCACTACCCCGGGCAGCGCTTGTCCCCGCTGCCTCCGGGCAGGAGGCTCCTCCGGGAGGGCTCTTGCAGCCCCTGGCCCTGCTGGAGACCCCCTGGTGCCGTCCTGGCACCCCTGGGCCAGGGGGAAAGGGCTCAGAGCCCCCGGGGAGGCTGCTCCTCCGCTCTGCCCGGCCTTGCGGACCTCGCGCCTTCCGCGGGGTTAAAAGGGACCCGGGAAGAAAGCGGGAGAGCCCCGAGCACCTCTCCTGGTGCTGCTTCACCAGGGACGGCGGGCAGCGCTCCGGGGCGCACTGCGGGGATCATCACCCACACCTCTCTTGCAAGGGTGCGAAAAGTTGGTTCTTTGATGTTCCCCAAGTGTTTGGAAACGCCTGATGCAACACGCCGCGCGCTCGGCGAGGCTGCGTTATTAACCCAAACCACCGGACCGCATCGGAGAAGCCTTTCCCGACACCCAAAGCTGGAAAGACACCGGAAAAAGATGTCGCTCGGCACCAAGTTTCCAGTTTCTGGGTGTTTGCACCCAAAATGCTGCACGCAGATCCCCCGGGCAGCTTGGGGCAGGGCTGGTGAGGAGAAGCCGCGGATGCCGTTTGGCCCGGGCTCGTTTTTCCCACGAGCCGTTTGCAACACTCCCCACGGGAGGGTTAAGGGCACAGGTAGAGCTTGCTGTTAAGTTACACACGAGGGGAACTCGTGGCTCCCGCTCGCAGGGGCGCCGCGACGCGGGTGACTCCCTCTTGCACGGTATCGCGTTCTCACTCCGGGGCACGGATTGCTTCACCGGCGTTGGATTTTGCAAGCCTTTAAAAAAGGGCACAGTAATGGGAGCAGGAGGAACCGCGCTGAACTTCAACGCTGCGCCGGGATGAGCCCAGGCGCAAGGGGCTCCTTTCCACTGCGGATCCTCCCAGGAAAACAGAGCTGGTGGCACCATCTGCGGCACAAAGGTCTGGGTGACACCTGCCTATGCCCAACTTACTGCTGCATCTCCCAAGATTTCTTACCCTGGCACTGGAACATATGGAATATAGCTAGGATAGGTCGTTCTATAGCGAGTTAACAAAGTCTTTATTGTTTTACAGGATTTTTCATCTTTTTGGGTAGCTGTTTTTGTATTCACTTTGGACCATGTGATGCCCTGACACCGGTCATGTGATACGGGCTGCGATAGGCACAAATCCCTGGGCAGCAACAAAAGAAGAAAGAGGAAAAAGAAAAAGCTGAGAAAAAGCTTGCAATTTGGAAAAAGGCCAATTGTACCCCGGTGAAGGCCTTTTTGATCAGTGAAATGACACATGTGTGCAAGATTAATGGCGCTAGATTGTGATATTTTATTTGTTGACCACGAGCTTTTAAATTCTTGCACATATAGCTGAAACAGTCTTCTCATGCAAACAAAAATAATAATAATAATAAAAAAATGAATTGCCAAATGCATAATTTTTAAACAGAACTTTTCAGAGCACGCGGTGCCACTGGCTCATTCATTTCTTCTTCCTTTGGTGGAAGGATGCACGCAAAAAACTGAGCGTTACTACGGCACCAAGGCTGCAAGCTAAACTCACACTGGCAACTTCTAAATAAAAATACTAAAATAGCTTTTTTTTTCTCTTTCCAACTCAATTTCTCATTTTTCACTCTGCAGAGCAGTTCTGCAGCTGTGGTTGTTTCTGTTTCTGTTTCCCAAGCGCAAAACAAGTGCTTAAGTTGCTACAAAATGTTTGAAAAGGAAAATTGGGAAAAGACCTGCGTTGTTCTTTGGGGGAAAAAAAAGGAAAAAAAAGGGGGGAAAACCTATACAGATTATTTAAATGAAGAGAAAAACATGTTTGAGAACAAATCGATACCGTGCATAGAAACCCCTTATCTGGGCCAGGACGAGATGATGAAAATCTATAAAGAGCCCACAGATCTTAAACTTACTTTTTTTTGTCCTGGAATACATGCATTACACTATTGTTTTGGCTAAAAAACAACAACAACAACAACAACAAAACCCTTTTAAAGCTAGTAAGTTGGACCATTACAAATTAATCCTGACTTTAATAACTGGTTAAAGACCCCTTCAGCTTTATAAGTAACAAAAAATATTAAAGCCTGTGATCACAGCGAGCTTTTCTCATTTCTCCTCTAACCATTTGTTATTTAATCCAATACTAGTAATCCAATTTGTCCATCAGACTTTTAAAGGGCAGAATGCAACTTCCCCAGCTTAGACACTTTTCAAAGTACAATATATTTTTCAAATGAATGCTGGATGTTTCATTTTTTCCCCAACTGTTCCTAGCTCTAATGTATGAGGAAAAAAAGAACAAGATGAACATTGTTCGCACTGATTAAGTAAGAGCTCATTAAAGAGCTGTCAGTGCCGTACTTTGAATATGCATGAAGCATATAATCAGATCTAGTACCGTCACTAGAGGAGAATACGGTAAGTACAAAGGATTGATTTAATTACTTAGAGTGGGCTGTGGTGGTAAAGCAGTCTTGTTAGCGCCGAAAGAAAAGGAGGTTGTATTCTGGCACGGTTAGGGGAAAAAGGCAGGTTTAGCTTCTGCCACAATACCTAATCTCAGGATAAAGCACTTTACATTGTAGCTTAAAATGAAGACTGTCAGTTTTCTAAAAAGCCCAGAATTCATCTCATCTTGTTTAACCCCACCTGGTTAACTATCTAGCAGCACATATTTATTCTCGTGAACACGTAATTATGGCTCTACCTTTTTATCGTAGAGTTCAATAATGACTTCTGAGAACAGGCTTCAAAAAAGGCTGGCCCGCGCAGCAAACATCATATGCATGCCGAATGCAGAGTAAGAGATTTGAAAAATGCAAACCCAGCAACTAAGACGAAAGAGTGAGTATACCCGGCTTCCTGGGAAAGACAATATGCCTTTTAATGCCATACTGCGTTATTAGAGATTCGCTGATGACAACTGCCGGCAAGGTTTCTCTAATTCTGCTCTTTTCTCCTTTCCTTTTCTTTTCTTTTCTTTTCTTTTCTTTTCTTTTCTTTTCTTTTCTTTTCTTTTCTTTTCTTTTCTTTTCTTTTCTTTTCTTTTTTTTTTCTTTTCTCTTCTTTTTTCCTTTTCTTTTCTTTTCTTTTCTTTTCCTTTTCTCTTCTCTTCTTTTCTCTTCTTTTCTCTTTCTTTTTCCTTTCCTTTCCTTTCCTTTTCTTTCCTTTTCTTTCCTTTCCTTTCCTTTCCTTTCCTTTTCTTTCCTTTTCTTTCCTTTCCTTTCCTTTCCTTTCCTTTCCTTTCCTTTCCTTTCCTTTCCTTTCCTTTCCTTTCCTTTCCTTTCCTTTCCTCTTTTCCTCCTTCTCTTTTTCCCTCCTTTTCAAGGGACTCGGTTGTGTTTTATTCCTCCTCCAGGATCCGGGGGAATTCTCTCCCTTGAAGTCTCTGGGCCATTTTCTCCTGTCATTGTCTGGCTCGAGTGCTGAAGGACACGGGCTCTATTCTCCTCCTCACTTGACATCGGCCAGGACCCTCCTCGCTGATTAGGAAGGATCCCAATCCCGAACCGGGCGCTACATTCCCGCTCCGCTCCCGCACCTATCGCCTCCCGACTGCTGCCTTTTCCTACTGCGCTGGCGCATCTCCTGCAGCATAAAGTTGGGTCACTTTGTTCTAACAAGCCAGGCTTTAAAGGACAGCCAAAAAAAAAAAAGTATATATATATATGCATATATCCCCAAACATTCTTTTCTCCTGTGGTTAATCACATGTATTTGAACATTATCTCCATGCTGGTTATTCAATAATGACTTGAGCCAGTTTTCATGTTCAACGCTCCAGAATTACAAGCGCGTTCCCGTGTTTCCCGTTTGGGAGAACAATAACCAGCGACGAGCTGGGTTTCATGCGGCACGGCTTCCAGGCAGCCTTTTCTTAAATCACGTTCCTCAGGATTTGCAAATGGATTTTTGTTTAAACTGTAAGCTAATTATTTGCTAAATATTTAAATAGGGAACGTTTTGACACATGGCGTTCTGAATCAATTTGAAAGAGCTATTTCTTTCTTCTTTTTTTTCTTTCCTGCTAAAAATACTTCCAAACCCACCTCCTATGATCAGACAGCTTTCGGTACATATATGTGCCATTAAATCCATTATTTTTAAGCTCTTTGGACAGCTAGTCATTAGATAAACCAAATATGGATTAACACAGTAAAATGGTACATTGCAAAGAAAACAGAAAATAAAGTGCTACAAAACCCTGCGAATACCACTTAAAAGGAAGAAAAAGCAGCAACGTGCAGGGACAAGATTAGTTTACGGTGTAAATGGATGAACACAGTAACTTCTCTACACTTTATATGGTCGTAAATCTGTCAAGATAAACCAATAGATTAATATTTTCTAAAAAATCCTTACACGTAAATGTATTTAGCTGTTGAGCAAAAATCTGAATTACACCCCGAAGAAGATAACTAAGGGCTTTCTAGCAGCATGTAAGGCCAGCCCTATGGATGTGGCAAGAAAGAACAGGTTCCCAGCGAGCACGGTGTTCCATCGGAGGCGGCGGCCGTGTCTCGGATCCTGCGGATCCTGCGTTCTACCGAGTCCGGGAGAAACACACACAACTCCCCGGCTCCCTGTCCCCTTCCCAGAACGACCTGGAAAACAACCGGCTTCAGATGGAGCCCATTTTTCACCCCTTTTCCACAGTTTTAAGACTGAAGCAGCCTTCTTCACTCAACGCGCTCGGTGGAGAGGCCGGCTGGAGAAGGCCAATGTATGTGGACCAGAATGGGGTGAGTAATGCCCAAAACGGACCCCCTTCACTCTGCCCCTCTGCTGCAGGACGGTGCTATTTGTTATTTGCCAGCAGCTAGCTGGCCACCAAGGTCTACCACGGTG